ATCTGATGAGCACGGTGTGCGGGTGTGTGTGATGCATATTGTATGGGTGGATAATAGCGTAACACACTCTGAAATCATGTGAGGTGTAATCCTGTTGCAAATGATGCTAAAAGATTCAATTCGCGAGCGTAAACAGCTAACTCTGAGTTGATCAAACGGGTAGATTTCACAGTGAAGGAGCTAAAATATGCAGGGGATGAAGGTGCGCGATGACGCATCTATTCTCAATCTCATGAGTCCTCCTTCTCACCCTTCAGACAGAGACAATAAGAAGCAGAACAACATCGCGCACACACTCACACACACCTGCCAAGCATGGATAAAAGATGGATTAAAGGATGACAGAAAAGAAAACTGGTGTGAGGCATGAATCATTGTTTCCCTGGAAGCACTCTTACACCCGTGGCTATAGACGTATAGTCCCACATATACATACAAACACAAGCTGCGTTTCCATTGACCATGAAAATGCGCAAAGTAGAATTTCGAAAATAAATGTGCTCAATGGAAACACAGCAGTTTCGAAAAAAATAAAGTTTTTTGACAAAATGTTTTTGCGCTAGGATGAGGTGGTATTTCGGCTGTATCGAAATTGGTGTTTTTCTACCCGTTTTAGAAGTTATCATCCATGAAATGGACGTTATTAGGTGTTATCAGTCCCATAGAATGGCTTCTGATTGTCAGCTGGTTAATATGAGGCATAAAGCCACTATCTGGTTAACATGAGGCATAAAAAAAACTAGTTAATATGAGGCTTTAAGCCACTAAGGTTAACTTTAGAGCAAATGACATGGTTAACGCTAAAGATACCGCCCTCCAACGCTTGTAAGTTGTGACTTTCCAATAGGGCAGTGGACAGAGTGTCAGACCAAAGAGTGGGAGACCAGGGTTTGAGACCGACACTGACACTAAAAATTTATTTCAATATCTTTTGGTTATTTACAAATTCATTGTCATTGATATATTAACCCACTAGGGGGCACTGTCAGGACAGTCTGAAGCCTAGAAGGCACAGTAGGGACCCTCTGAAGCCATTGTATGGGACTGATAATGCCTAATAATGTCCATTTCATGGACTGATAACATCAGACTCCCCTGGTTTTTTGCAAAACTGCAATGGGAACACTTTTTTCGCATCACGGGAGTCACATGATCAACAACCGGCTGTTTCTACTGGTGAAAAAGATGACGACGAAGAAGACAACGGGAAGTAGAAGTGGTAGTAATATCACAGAARTAGTAAAAGAAAGTAGTAAACTCACCGACTACAATTTCCCAAAAACTCAGCATACGTAGCCRCTCCCAAGTAGGGACTTGTCACTGGAAAGTCTCGATAAAAGACGCCGACATCTCCTCTGATGATGAGCGCTAGTGTCGTGGTAGCAACATGCTATGTGTTTACATCCATCGCCGCCATGTTTGTAATGACTTATCGCGAGAACAAACGTATTCACGCATGACTTTAATAGCATTTCTTAATAAAAACATTGCAGTTGCGAAATTGTGTTTTTTCGACATTACCAGAATATCGACAAAGTTTTGCGCACATTTGTAATGGAAACGCAGCTACAGTCTTAAACACACACACACACACTTACATACACTCACCTGAGCCAAATAACAATCGCCCTGCCAAATAACGCTCACAAGACCCTACAAGTTTCCTGAAACTCTGTGTTCTTTTCTTGTTCCTGTGTTTCAGAGCCTGACAAAATCAAACCGACACAGACTGAGACTCTCCTCGCTCCCAGTCCCTCACACACTGATGTTTGTCAAAACCCCTCGGCATCACATTGGAAATCACTAGATAACCTCTGGCGTTTTTTTTTTATTCAACACGCAGAAACAAGAGTGTGAGGAGTGTATTTTAAGCCCTTCGCGTTACGTGATAACCCTGGAWATCTAGTATTTTTACACAAGCATGTCATATTTTCTTCTCTGAGGGCATGGAATAGATTAAACCTTCTCCCYGATGCTCCAAAACACAGGCATTGTGGATTCCAGCTTTAGTTCCTGAGTCTGAAAGTGCACTGGGACTTTTTAGACGTTTGCTGAYGTGAAAATCGGAATCGTTTGGCAAACTAGACTTTCCTATTTAATGAACTGAATCTTCAAATGGAAACCAGGTTCAATCAGTAAACTTATTTCAAAAGGCTCTTATAAAACAGACCAGGGTTGGCCTTGACTGTGAGCAACTGTCTTTCTGGTACTTTTGTCATATTGTTCCTGCTTTTTCTTAATTAGAGGCAGAAGTGCCAAAAGTATTCACCTTCATTCGTTAAGTAGAAGTATAGGTTAGAGTTAAAAATACTTTTTTGGAAGAAGAAATATCAACTCAAGCTTTTTACTCACGTAAAAGTATAAAAGTAATGTTTTTAAAACTACTTAAAAATATAAAAGTAAAAGTAATGAACACTTTAAAAAAGCTGTTAAGGATAAAAGCTCAGGCTGTGCCACAGGGTTCTATACTTGATATGAATTGGCAAAAATGAACCCAGGGTACAGGCAGCTTCCAAAAGGAAAAAAATAAAGATTTATTAAACAAAAATTGCTAACAGGGCAGCTCAAAAACTAACTTGGTGTAGCTTAGCTAGGCAAGGCAAGCCAAGGCAACAAACATACAGGCTGTGAACAGCACAATGATCAGACAGGGAAGTGAAGACAAGATAYAGAATATAAAGGTGAGGCTAACGAGCACAAACAGGAAACACCTGGGAGAGAAACATGAGGARCAGGTGAGAGTGGGCGGGGCTGGAGCAAAGGCAGACAGGAGGAAGAAAACAGATGACAAGACAGAAACTAAAATAAAACATTAACACAGACAATAATCATAACAATACTGTACCGCCTAACCACAGTCCAATCAAATTCATTCTATCCAAGGGCTCCATGTGTCTGGATTGATTTCTATTTTTTCGGAACAATGAAAAGATGGAATAAAAACAAGTCGAAGTTAAATAGAAATGAAATACTTTTTGCATTTTTAAAAAGTACTTAATTGAATTAAAATGTAAGGAGTAGAAGTAAAAAATAGGCTGAAAAATAATTATTC